AGCAAATGGTCCATCACCCTTAAGTCTTCAATAGTGTATTATCCAAAATTGACTATTTTTTGCGGTCAACTACCTATTGAAAAATGCGACACTGGACAACAAAATCTGCCAATTTAAAATTAAGCAAGAAAACAGAGCAAAATGTAGGGGTATATGTTGCTAAATTTTGTAATGACGCACGCACGCTGCAAAAGGCGGATAATTAGAAATGTCATCGAGGGCACACTTTTTAAAAGCACCGTCAAATATTTTCTTCCAATCCAAACGATGCCATTTCAGACAAAATAAATATCACTCTCACTTTGAACAAGATTTTTTTTCTTCTATTTAACCGGTAGACCTAGTAGGTCCCTTTCCAGGAATTTGTTGTTCCTAGCCTACCATTGTTCCTTTATTATAAAGCAGATTTGCTCTTATATAAGTTTTCTTCCAACGGTGAGTTATGCGCCCACTTCACAAGGTCAGGCGCGGTTCTAGAGCCAATATTTTTGTTGTTGTTGCGGGGGGGGGGGGCGGTTAGCAGGGTTGGTCCAAAAATTTTTTCCAGGGAAGCGTGCTGAAATGTAGACCGGTTATTTTCTCCGGACACTTAGCCCCCCCCCCCCCCCCCCCGCAGAACCACCACTGCGCAATATGCATTATTTAGATCATGACCTCGTGTTTGTATGGCCAGCCGCGCCGGGTGTCCGACAAACGTCATAAACTATGATGCATATTCATTATCTTGCCCAAGCGCGCTCGCATAATGCATACATTACAGCGCGGCCGCCATTTTGAAATCCCATGGGGGAGCATTTTCGGGACGATATTTGTGGAAGATGATGACTGAAAGTCGTCTTTTTGCCACATGGATGAAAATATTGAGACCAAAGAACGTTTTTTCGAAAAGGTATGGCTTTCTCTACGACTAAGAACCTTAATCCTGGATGAAAAGATAATCTCGGTCGAAATCTGTAGCAAAATCGCTACATCAGCGGCAAAAAAAATGCAGTCTTTTTGGAAGCATTTGGCGTCTGGCCGTACTACAGAGCTTGCGATAGTACTGTACGGCCAGACGCAGTCGGGCTAGGGAACACGACTATACAGTCCCAGATTCATATCTTGTCGTTATTTTTTCAATGAATGAATTTTATTGAGATGATAATGAGGAACAAAGTGGCGTCAGGTTGCAACATATTTACCCTTTAATTTTCAGAAAAAAAATAGTAAAAGATGACAATTTAACTTAAGGACACGTGTCTTTCCCCAACTTACCGGCGTTTTCGACCGTGTTTACTACCTTCGTCAGGACCCCGACTGTCATGGAACTTTTCAGTAATAGATTTCCCTTCGCGCGCACACCGTGAAATGAACAGGGTACCAGATCACATTTGTAACACTAATCTTGAGGGCGCTATTGAACATTTCCATCAATCTCATTATCTGAGCTGCGCTCTTTCTGCGGCTCTTTAGCCTATGCCCGTTTGAAAACAAAAATGCATTATTTTTTGTTGAAATTAATTAAATAGATAAATCATATGTAGGCATTTTCCTTGGCATATTAATTTGAAATTAACCACCAGATCCCAGGTGTGGAAATAACGGCGTCTATTTCAATAAAATGGTTAGAGAGTACTGATCCCAAATTCTAAATAAGAAAACCCGCTGCAAAACCATTACCATGCGCCGTGAAAATAGGCATATAGTATTTGCAGTATGCATAGTAATGGTCGGTTTTGAAGAGCTCCCCTATTTGGAAGATGGGTACCAGCCCCCCCCCCCCCCCCCCCCCCCCCCCGCGCTTTTTGATTTTACGGAGGCGAGGTGTCCGGAGAATTAAAAAAAAAAATGTCTACATTTCGGCGTGGATGTGCGGTTAACCGCCTCCCCTCCCCCTCCCCCTCCCCCCCCCCCCCCCCCCCCCGACATCAAAAGCTGGATACGCTACTGGGTTAGAGGGGGATACAGTGCCCAATATTAGAAATTTGACTTCGGCAAAAGCAATAGATCAGTGCCTTCACTTGAAAAATTCCTGCTCCCCCTCCCCCACCTGCTTCGAAGTTTAACCCTAGTTTACGCCGCGGGCTGTCCGCATCTATAACTAGAGATAAAAAGTGGTAAATACTCAACGATGAGGGCAGTATGTCACTTAACGGTAAATGCAGACCAAATACATTAAGTCTGATTAACACCCGACGATGGGAGACTAGTCTGGGAGAAAAGTCGCGGAGAAATATCCCAGAAAGATAAATGAAGGTAATAGCTGGACCACTCGAAACCCGATAGGTAAACGGGCGGTGCTTGATGAGGAATAAACCGGGGAATCGGCCGCCAATGTTATAGTTTGGGACGGCGCGTGCAGACGTCAAGCAGGAAAAAACTTCACAACAGAGCAAAAAAACTATGCTAATAGGCTGATTATTTTATTGGTTTTCCTCTAATTTCCTAATGATAATTATTCTAGCATTAAAATACCACTGAAAGCATCCCTGGTGTGTTAAATCTAGGATATGGAAGTTATTAACCTTTCTTTTAGTGCAAGAATCATTCACATCACATGTTCTTTATTAAAGTTACAGAATTTTAAACACAACCACCGTAATTAATTATGCACACAAATTATCAAGCTATGAGCAATGAACACAGCAAACGGTTTGGGGTGTAGACATGGCTGCGCCGCGAGCGCTTTCCATGCTCACATGCGCAAATTTGACAGTAAATTGGCCTAAAAAGTCGACAAACAAGTTACCAAAAAGCCTAGTTGCTCCCACGAACATAGTGGTCAATCAAGAAGATAGTGACCACAAGCTCCGAGTCCACGCCACGTGACCACAGTAACGAACGCGCGTGCGTGCCTACAACAAAGAACATTGTGTTCAATCTGCTATTCTTACGTACCCAATGTCTAAACACAGCGGAAGTAAAATTATAGAATTGTCTAATTTTAACCAAAATACTATATTACCTGATTGTCTTTGAGGACTCTACACAAAAAAAATAAAGAATAAGATCAAAGCAAACTAAATTCTTCACTCGTCTACACATCACAATGAAGCTCTCTGGTAATTTCCAGTTAATCAAAATCACTCACTAGACTGGTCATTATAGTCACTGCATCCAAATCAGATTTGACTAATTGTAGCTCCCTATATCAGATTTTACTCGATTTCAGCATACAAATCTCTAATTTACTCAATGTCAACAAAATCATCTAAGCCACTGCAAATTTCTCTGAGCATACAAAGCCAACGTTAGCGACACTCTTTAAAAAAGGCTTACAATTCTCTACAAAACCACTAAAATGTACTTAAAATCTAAAACTAACACAAGCGCTGTAAATGTTACTTGTAAAAATGTTTTAACATCTAACGATTCTCTGATGTAGACTCTTGCTTTTTAGGGCAAAACCAACGCCTCCAACTCTCTAACTCTCTCTCTCTTAATTTGAGTCTTCGATTTTAGCATTCAATTCTCTAAAATACTGTCTACTACAGTTTGTCATGGTTATTTAAAGTTGTGCGCTGCCTCTACATAAAGATGTTCTCCCTTGTAATATCCCCTTAGAGTAAAATGTATGTCTATTTGGAGCATATAAAATAATCCATCAATGTCTATGCTCTCCTTTTGGTTTTATGTAATAGAATTATCTATAATCGACATTCCTATTGCTTTCAAATGTCTGGAGAAATGGAAATTCCTTTGGGCAATATTGAAATCAGCCCACTAAATCTTTTTCTAAATATTAGCATAATAAACAATTGTTTAATCTCCTCCTTACTGTATTGGCTGTCTTGATTATTTAAAATAAAGTTAGTGTACAGACTGCTTGTAACTCTTGGTTCGATGTCTAGACATATAATTCTAACTTCATTACTCCCAAGATTACGATGTTCTCGCTTAGTTTATGTAATATTGACTCTAAAAAAAAAAGACCTGTTCAACATTTGTTCTGTTATTTCATATAAGCACGAATAGATCATTATTGATTTCTTTTTAGCAAGACTACAATCGATAGCACTAAGCCTCTCTGATCTGACGCAGTAACATTCTAAAAATCCTCTACAACTACAAGAATAACAAGTTTCATATCTGTGATGGACGCGATATCTGTTATACGCCTTTTGTTTTAATATTTACGCTTAGCTAGCCCCGCACCACTAATTGTCAGTTTCACTGCAATAACACTGCAATCAATAACATGGCAAATGTACTTAGTTGTTAGCAATTTTTAAATGATCACTTCAAACCCACATAACACACACAACTTGTTAGCAAATTGGATTTCACTTCAAACCCACATAACACTGCTCATAGTACTCCTTGGAACTTTATATGGGGTATCAATCCAGCTATGAAACTGAAGACTACTAAACATAAATGAGTCTACGTGAACAGTTTTCAACTACCATTACAATTACTAATTTTGGCCAAGTGGAAAGCAGGCCTTCATAATATACAGGGTGAGTTTGTTTCCAATACACCTTTTACAGGGCGAGTTCAAAAAAGCGGAATCCAAACCCAAAGAAATATGTATTTCGTATTAAAAAAAATATGTAACACCAAAATAATATGACTCCAGAAGTCCATTCATTACACGACTTTCAGTACGAAAATTATTTCAATATTGCTCCACACGTTAAAATGTTATCAGTAATAAATTAAGTAACCTTAAAATCAGTTTTGTATTAAAAAAAAATCAATTTCTGTGTGTGTTCTGACGTTTAGAACAACGTAGAAAATATACAGAATACTTGTTTTAATAACTGTATAGTACACAATATCTTTATTAACAACCCTGCTTGGGCTATCAATATGATTTATAAATCCACCTTTTCAAAGGGCGGGCCTTCAAAAGTACTTTAGTGAATATTTTCAACTTTTAAACTGAGGTTTTATTGCAGGTACTGTTTGAAAACAATTTATACGATGTTGAAATCGCATTTTTTTAGGGGACAAAACCGATTTTAGGGTCATTTCGTTTAAATGGTGATATACTTTTAACGGATTCAGCAATTAAATCTTTTTTTTTCATCTAAAAGTAGCTTATTGCCAGTCATCATTATTTTTGGTGCCACATATTTTTTTTTTAAATATGAATTATATTTCTTTGGGTTGGGTTCCACATTTTTGGACTCCACCCTGAAGAGGGTGTATTAGAAACAAACTGTCCACACCAAATCACGCAACAGCAAGAAAGTATATTATTCCTACGGATCCTGATTGGGAGTATTCTTACGTGAATATATTTACTTGCACCGGTCAAGCAAATCATACATGATGTCAATGTCAGCCTGGTTAAATGCCTGACTGATTGTGATGACATCGTCAGATCATTTCTCACGAGGAAGACTGCCTATACATGGGGAACCAGGGAAAATAGGTTCTGGGTTCCTTGATTTGGCCTGGACGTTTGTTTTTTTCTGGGACACCCTATATGGCGTTCATTCTGGACGCACCGTTCTACAAGGGTGTGAAGACAACACGGCGCTGGTGCTGCTCTTGATGTGCGGGGAACATGGCCACGTAGTGCTCCGACCAGCCACCAGTGCGTACACGGACCAAGTCGTACCGCTCAGGTTCATCCACTGCTTTCTGATACGTCTCCAAATTGGCGCATGTGACTGTGAAACAGTAAAATGAAAATGATTGTTGAATAATGGTATTTAATCCGAGTGAGTATGGCCCAATGATCCCACTTCGCTGAAATGTTTGCAAGCGTTAATTTATCATTCTGCAATTGCCACATTTTGCGGGGTAACAGCGTATATATACGCCCACAATGCATCCGTGTCTAGTTTGACCGGACCGACGGGTACTATGTGGTCGAAGAGAAAACTGGAGTGCTGCTTATAGATATAACTTAAGTTCAAGTTTTTCAAACTACTGATATTTCCCGTAGTTTGAAATTTAACACGGCAAGCAGCCGGACCCATTTCGCTGTGTCGTTTATACATATTTTCCCACTTTTTGAGCCTTATATTCGTGGAACTGTTTGAAGCCAATCATTGGAAGTAAATATGGGTTAGTGTCTAGAAGTACGCATATGACTGTGCCTATATGGTCTAGCTATTTTTTGGAAGGAAAAGATGGAAAAAAATGTGCCGTTTAATCTAAAGATGTCGGCTATCCGTTGCAGCAGAGGGTATAGGTAAAACAGGGTAAGCACATCCCTCTGTATGAATGAAATAGACAGAAGATGAAGTTTCGAAGGTTATAGAGTTGAACTTTGTTACCATAATAAGTTACTGTACCTGTAATCAAATTGGAACCGATGGGTTTGGTGCGATTTGCATAGTGACGTATGAACTCGTGAAGCTTGGCCTCAGGGAAGTCCTCGCTCACATTCATGTCGACCGGTGACCCGTTGGACAGACCAATGTTGATGGAATCATAATCAAAACTTCTCATGGCCCTGCAGTGAACAATCAAAGACGAAATGAGCTTCCAACACACTAATCCGCTTTCATTTGAAAACAACATGGACGGTTTCAAAGCGAGGATTTTGATTCGAACAATTATTGTTGCGTATACTGTTTCATGTCCCAAATGCAACAGGCAAGGACCGGAAGCGGCATTTCAAACAGAAACGGGTGGGGTTGCAGGGTCTTTATTAAAGGTTCTAAAAACATCAAGTCTTGCGTTAAAAACTGTATATCAGTAGTTTCGGAAATGAATGGGTTTAGGCCTGTGGAGCAAAAAAAATGAAAGCAAACGGTTGTGTTCACATGTGCTCGGTAGCAGCCAGAAAAAAATGCTTTTGAAAATCTCAACGGTGTTTATCGGCCTGCGTATTAATGGCAATGCACACTTGCTTTGGGTCGGAACCAAATCCAGACGAGCTGTTTTTTCCAAACGTGGCCCGATCTAGCCAATTAAATGAGAGCAGTGTGCGCCTAAAGTACACAATTTTAGTAAGGACCTTCCATTTCTAGGAAACAAGCCAAAAGTAAAGCATGACACTCACTGATAGATGTTGACCGAGGCTGGTTGTGCGGTCTTGTCCTGGGGTGCAGGTGACGGACTCAGATCCGATGCGAATGGCTGGCGACTACGGCGCCCGTCAGCGGAGGCTCCTGTACCCAATGCTTGCGGAACGTACCCCTCGAACGTCCCAATACCGGGTTCAACGACGAAACCAAACGGACGGCCTGTGAAATCGAAACAAAGCGAATTATGTAGATTTTATCTCAACCGTGCTAAGCCAGTGTCAAAGCGCTTTCCTAAACAGGCATAGTTGCGGACAAAATTAAATAATGACTAAGTAGACAAAGCTTGATTACCTGGTAAGGAGTATTTCTCTTTGATACCACTGATGATGCCATCGAGTACGGAAGGAGGGTGGTGAATCGTATCTTTGGCAATAGACACCACGTTTTCCATCAGCCAGTTTGCTATCTCGTCTACCTCTGGATTACCACGTCCAAATCTTGGTAAAGTCAGAGCCTTCTTTCTCAGCGTCTTGTAGGTAGCTGCGTTCGCATCCTCTCGCACCTCCCCGGCACGCTCGTCGAAAAACGGTTCTCTCATTTCAAATCCCCAGTCCAGTTTCAGCGCTTCCAGCAGTTGGGGCAAGGTCGTGAGGGATTCGTCTGGGTCGAACACGAGCTTCTTAACCCTAGGGCCGGGTTATTTTGACCATCTCTCAGCGGGGGGGGGCGGATTCCGCCCCCCCCTAAGATCTCGGCCATCGAGTGACGAAAATTTTGAAACTCACTACATGCATAGAACAACTCTTCCTCAACATGCCCAAGAAATTTCATGACTATAGGTCAAAGGGTTTGGAATTATGGCTAATTAATTATTCATATGTATGAATGCCAATTCTGCTCGGTACACGACCTATATGCGAAAATTCAGTTTTCACGGCGCGTAGCGCCGGAATTTTTCGCTACGTGCAAACCCGTGGTCCGATTTTTATGTTTTTGGTATCAAAAGATGCGCAAAGCTCAAGGCTAAAAAGTCATAATAGCTCGGGTCGCGAAAAAAATTTTTTTAGAAGCTATCGCGGAAAATGTTGAGGGGGGGGCGGATTCCGCCCCCCCCGGCCCTTTTAGGGTTAATGGCATACAGTGAATCGATGGTGTTAGACGCACTGACGTACATCATAGCCAATGCGTGGTAGTTGGATCCCCCATTGGAAAGATCACGACCGCTTTCTTTGCAGCCGTGGATGAGGGAGGACAGAAGTGGCGAAGGGCAGATGTCCCAGAGGTTTCCATAGTTGGAGAGAATCGTGATGTAAAACTGAGCAGTTTGAATTCGCAGGTGTTTTAGGAAGATTTCTTTCAGCTGGTCGAACGTCTTGATTTGGCTGGAGTGTGGCGATGGATAGGAGACTTTGAGGCCTCGAAGATATACCGACCCCGAGTCGGCATAAAGCGTTCCCTCGTTTAGAGTCATTTCCAGAATGTTCAGCAGAATGATGATGCCAAACGCAAACTCGGTCTCGCCCGCAATCATTGGCTCGTAGCATCCGTCACATGCGTAGTTACGAGCTGCCGCAAGGCTAACGGGTACATCAGGAGAGCCACTATTCATCAGACTCGGTACAAGTCTATCATCATGCATGAGGATCGGATGTGCACCACCGCTAAGAAGCGCCCTTGTGGCTTCCTGCAGTATATTCTCTGGCATGTTCTTGTGTAGCCTGAGACTCAAGCATGGGGCGTTAGTAGGAATCCTGCGAGACGATTTCAGACACAGCAGAGTAAGTTTGTTACAGGCCGTCGTTGGAGTGACGTCATCATTTGCTTGGTACCCGCCAACGGTGATCTGTTGGACCCACTGGTTGACGGCGCTTCCTTGACCAAAGTTACCTGTTGCAGCGTACATCACCGATGTGGAACCTCGATCATGCAAGTCTGGTGTAAAGTGGCGGTTAATGACGACACGTTCACTCAGTTTTATCCACAGGCAGTCCAAGATCTCTTGCGCTTCAGCTTCAGGCGTTGTCGTTTCGTCGTAGAACGGACTCAGCAGGACGTCTAGTCGGCCAATAGCAACCGGGTTGCCAATCAGATGCATAGAACAGTGCATCAAGAACAGAAGCTGCACGGCCTCCAGCATATTGCTGGGGGCGCCGGTCTTCAGTTTCAGCAGTCTTGCGTTGATGCGTCGGAGATTTTGTTTTTCTTCAGCCGTATATTCCTCCTTTTGTGCCAATTGCTCAGCCAGGTTCGCAAAGCTCTCAATGTACTCTTGAACTCCCTCCAGCGCCAGGATGACCGACTGGTAGAAATCCTTTTGTTCACGGGGGGCTCTGGCGTATAACATTTGGTGTTGGTTCTTTAAAACGCCGAGGCCGACGGCCAACACGATTCCGTGGTCGGGAACAATGTGACCCATGGCACCGCCCTCATTAAGACCCTTCATAAACCAAGGAAACTCTTCTTCTTCACGAGAGTAGGGCATGACATACTTGCCGACACCAAGAGAGAATCTGGGCATGACACCGACAATCAGCTCATTCGGGTGTATGCGGAAGAGGTCGTTTTTGTGCCATAGTCTGTTTTCGGTATCAAAGTGCCCAGCGTCTTCTTGATCGCCATGCCTTTGCGAATGGCCGCGGATTCCTCCAGATATGGCTTTTCTGCTGCCGTCAAATAGTTGCTCAGATGGGGAATGCGGGCAGTGTGTGGTTTTTCATACCACTGGTCACTCCACTCGGAGAAAATCACGGACAGGAGCTTGATAACACGATGTGTCGGTGGATCTCCGGGAGCATACAAACCAAAGCTCATACGGTGGAGATATTCGCGCCAGTTGTAAAACATGTAGTCGTTGGTGCTTCTCACGTCCCACAAAGGCAGGAAGTCAAGGGTCGGGGCCTGGCCTACGTCCGGTTCGTCGGTAAAGCCGAGCTGATACAAACTTGGTGTATACCAGAAACTTCCCTCGATGCCTTGAGTCATTGAAATGAGTTTGTCTTGTGTGAAATCGGGGTCGTCTCCTACAAGGCTTTGCATAAGATCGAGAAACAGCTGAAAGTGATCAGCGAAAGCATTGAAGTAGATTCCTTCCTGACCCATTTCCTGGCCTGTATCATCACGTCCGTAGGGCATGCTCCCCCGAAGAATCTTCAAATGAATACTAGCCTCAGCCAGACGCGCTCGACGGATGTGACTTCTTGAATCGGCCCCGATGACGATTTCATCTGTAACCTTTCTGCCGATGACGTTCTCTTGCTGGCGGATGGTCATTTCGTCAAATATGCTGAAGTTCATCCGAAACTTTTGCGTGTAGAAGTAACTACCACCCCCGGATCTTGGAGTGGTCGTCTGTGGAGTCAGGATGAAACGTTCGACGGTAGTCTTGTCGACTGGATTGGCAACGCCGTCTCGAAACTTCCCGTTAATGGCACGATCATTGTAAACCCGGGTGTGGGTGACATCAAGCGAAGCCAGACCATGGAGGTTGTTTTCTACTTCTTGGAAAAGCTTTGGTACGACGTCTTCGGTGTCAGACTTCAGAAAGAAGGAAACATCGCCTCCTGTGTTGACAAACTTTCGGGATGAAGACAACATATAATTGCCTTGTGGTCGGTCTTCGATGTCGTCATTCGGGCTCCATGTTTTCCACAAGGCTGGGTCAAAAGAGACGACATAACCGTTTCGTCCTTGCAACAGGTCGCACTTTTGCTGAACGGCTTGTATGGCGTTAAAAACGCCTGTCTTACCGGTCTCGGTCTTGTCATTTAAATTGACCACTACCATACAACCGTACTTTGGCCTGGTGTAGAAAATACCCGGTTGTGCCAGCAGATACGTAGACTCTTTCGCGTGAGCGGAATCAGCTAGGCTCCTCGTCTCAGGGTGCCTCTTCTGAAACGATGTCAATGGATACAATTATGGATATGTAAACGAAAGAAATGGGATTGAATAAGCCGTCGTAAGGCAAAATCGACATTCACTGTCGTCTTTCCGTACATACCTTTTGTCGCTTTACTGCTCTGTGCTCCATCGTGTTGTAACGGTAGTGTAGGCCCTACAACCGTCTGTCTACAGAAAACAAAGCAAAACAATTTTAACCCTAAAAAGGGCCGGGTTATTTTGACCATCTCTCAGCCGGGGCCCCTAAGATCTCGGCCATTGTTGCCATGAGGCAACGGCGTTAAGGTGATGCTGGGTTCTTAAAATATTTTGTAGCATATATGATAGAAGCTTTGCATGGTAGATGGAATAAGGTGGAGAAAATTGCAGGTAACACCATGTGGAAAACAATCTTTTCTGCAGTGGCGCGCCCAAGGGGGAGGGGTGGGGGCTCGGGGGCTTGGAGGTTGTCAATTTCTTTTAATACATTTTTAAGTCCCATAACTTGACGGTGTTGATGTATGTGGCCTGTTTTCCAGTACTTTAATAGGGGTGTAAATGGCGCCACCAACGTCAAAATGTCCGTCTCCCCCCCCCCCCCATATATTTTCTGCGGCAATACATTTTTTTGTTTGATTCAAACTTCTAAAAAGAATTTGGGAAAAAATGGGAGCACAAGCCAAATGTTGGGTGCGCTGGGGGCACCGCACTCAACCAAACGCGGCTGTTTTCAGAACTGACCCACACTTCTTCCCATACAGAAGAGATTAACATAACATTATACCTGCAATTTTCTCTACCGTATTTCGCAGTTGAACATTTAACTGCATTATGCAGAACTTGGTTTTCTGACCGCATGAAGATGCTTTGAGATGATAAATTAGTCATAAATTCTTATCAGGATTCAAGCCCGAGACCTCAAACATTTCGTGTCTAAGCATATCAGTTGGGTTATCAGTGTGTGACATAATAATATTGTAACGTCTCTCTTGGTGAGAGACATTATCAAATAAAGAGTCAGATACAAATATCTTACACACACACACTAGTACTTTATTCGGGATTATTTACATCTCAGGTCAATAGAGGGCGCACTATATACACGTAAGTTAAGGCGTACATGTGTATATGTCAGGAACTCTGTCGGGGTCAGAGCCCAGAGCAACAATCTAATGCATCATATGCGGGAGCTCTGTGTAGGTCAGGGCTCAGCTCGATAATCCACTGGGCAGAGCCCAGTACAACAATGACCAGAACTGACATTTCTGCGCGCTTTATATACACTTTTGGGTGCGCGTCTTAGCCAATGGGAGCATTGGATTCTGGTAGTTATGAATAATGCATCCGTGTACAAAGGCATGGGAAACTTCTCTATGGGAGATTTGTACACGACTGACTTAGACATTCTAGGGGAGAAAGTCCGAGACTAGTGGTTAGCGGCGAAGTAGGATCACTCGTGGGTGCGTTACGGGGAACTGATCCTCAAGGAAAAGGGAAGGGAATAATTCTCGGTACATAGGCTTGTGTACAAGACTTAGTCTCTAAGACTAGGTAAGAATCTGCACACTAATGCTATGGAGTAAAACTATGAGATGAAGGACGTAACCTGACCTCTAGCTACCGTAGGTCTCGCCAGTGGGTTAGCGGGACACACTCGCTGGGGTGTACGGGGTCACTAAGGGGTGAATACACGGGTAGGTTTTAGCAAGCCACATTCGCTAAATGCTTGGGTCAATGTGGGTCGGATGCGAGGTAAGGTGTGTGAGGGGAATTCGCATCGACTCCGGGAAAGGTGGAGGGAAAATGGCTAAGTCCCAAGTACATGTCCCATGGCGGTACATGTTCATAGCTGTGAGTGCTACATGCATTGCGCGCTATACAATAGCGTACTGTACTATGTGCTGCACACTTGTGCGTGTGTCTAAGACTTCGAGGTAAGCTTTGCGCTGTGTGAGGGCACACAGGATCGCTGCAAGCATTACGCTGTGCACGGAGTGGAATGGATTGGTGGGGAAAGAAGAAACTACGCAATTCGCGGGACGCAACACTATGTTTCCCCACAACAGTAGAAGACACAGAAAAAATTTAAATTTCATGCGAAAAAAATCGGGGACCGAGCTTTTACTTAGATTACGACTCATATTAATTCACTTCCAGCATGGTATGAAAACAGGTACAAAGGAAATTACTGCAGCAATCATTTTTAAGAAAATAAATTATAACTTCAGTGCAATCTCGATAAGTCAAACTCTGATAACTCAAAACAACTGTTAAGTCAAACAACGAATCCATTGCCGTCAGAAGTACAATTATATACAACTCTGCTTGACTAAAACTCTGCTCAAGTCAAATTTTGAAACTATCACTGTATTATCTGTCACCCCTTACATATTTATGTGTGGACAAACATTTTGCCCTCGTTCACATGAATAAGCCCAATATTTTCAGCAACTGGCTGTGGCCTTTTACTCGACAGCTGTCATTAAGTTGGTATGTACGTACTTTTCTTTAAAACAATCCAATTTTCTTTTCTGAACGAGTTTTGACAGAATATAATGCCCTGTAAAAAAAATAACTTGCTTGTTTGCATTTGCAGGCCTTTACACGGTTGTAAAAATTGGTTGTAAAAATTGGTTTTACACAGCGCACTCCTTTTCACTGATATAATGGCGTCTGACGGTGACCTTGGTTGGGCGACACAGTTTCCGAAATTCAAGTGCTGCCCGCTCCACTTTTGAGCGCACCACTGGTTATATGCTAATAAATGCTATTTTCCCGCGCTGGAAGTGGAAGCAGAATCACCTGAGCACTTCTATTGTGCGGCCAGAGGTCAATAGTCCATGACCCAGGCCCCCACATCCGCCAATTGTACCACTCCAGGTGGCAATCTAGCTGCTATTTTTTTTTTATTGCTGCACATCTATAGTTCACATGGTAGCCTTTTCAAGGTGGTACACCCAAAGCCTAATGTCAGTTAGGCCTATTTGACTGTAATCGTAAAAATATGAGTCATTTTGTCCGTGTAGTGACACGCTTACACGGACAAAATGACTCATTTTTTACGATAATGACTCAAATGACTCACTTGGTTTTCTGTGTAGCTTATTAGACTAGGCGATATTTCAAAAAAGGGCTCATTTAGGGCAAGGAGAGGTATTTTCGAGTAGA